CTTTTCGTAAAACTCGCCCTGTTGTATGTCTTCGGCAATATTTTAAAAAATATTCCGTGCATTCGTAAGTTTATCATAAAGAAAATGAACCGAAAAGCGTCGATAGTTATGCCAGTCGATAACTATTGGAATACTCTCTTCTCTTGGAACCTCATTCAAACTCTTTGGAAATACGAAAAGAACGAGCTGAATCGTGCGTCCAAGATAGGTTGCACGGCGCCAAACCCGATTTTGATTGCGGGAACGAAAGGTCAAAGCGTCGTTCACCTTCTGGACTTGGTGAAGCCAAATCGACCGCTGGTTGTAATTTTTGGAAGCTGTACTTGTCCAGTTATCATAGCAAAGTTAGAGCAAATGCTACAAGTACAACGCGAGTTTGAAGATATTGCCGACTTTATCCTTGTGTACGTCCAAGAAGCTCATCCTCAAGATGGCTGGAGAATGAAGGTAAGAACGACTGTGGATAATTAAGGGATGTTTAGAGGATTTTTTTGTCCTACGCCCGTATTATAGAAGCTCGCTCGCTCTCATTGATTGCGACGGAGAAATCATTCTCTCCCACCATTCAATAGAAAACTTGTTTCTCCATTCATGGCGAGGTTCTTTTCAAAAAATATTTCAAATCAAAAAATCAGCAAAGAGAAAACGCCGTTTTTGAATAGTTGTATGCATGAGGTGATTTTGAAGCCCGCACTTAGTGAGTTTTGGGTGTGAATGAGATTCTAGAACACATTCGTGAGTGCCAAATACAATTCATGTATTTCTATAAACAATAAGAAGATAACTTGATTGGATTCTCTTTAACTGCAATCAACCTTCGAAACATTTTTTTCAATAGACTCGTACGAAAACCTGTCAGCGATCCTGTGATTTTTGTTACATACAGCGATATTTGATATCAAACTTGCTTTTCGCAGTTAAATTCAATATATGTGTGTTTGTTGATTTTCGCTATATCTTCGCGGGACGCTATGAACAATCGTGGGGTGATCAACTGTTTGTTAGCCTTACTTAGGCATCTTAACTGAGAACAATTGGATAAGGAACCGCATGTACTATTCTTGACGGGCGTAACTGGCTTCACTTTGCGTACATTATATACTTTATTTTGGAATACATTATCCGTGCACTTCTAACGAATAATGTTCAAGTAAATTATTTTGAATTTTGATATGCAGCGAAGTTGTTTTCCGTTGCTAATATTGTACACGTGCGTAAACACGTTACTTACGCAGCACCGACATGCGTATAATGAAAATGATATTTTAGTTTCCGCATTACTGAAGTAATAACGTTCCAACTCATTTCCTAAGGGAAGAAATCTCTTTACGACTTTAACTGATTGACAAGACTTATCATTGAGTGTATTGTAGATCGTGTACAAAGAAAAAACTAAAACTCGTAAGTGATAATGCCCAAAAAAACGTTTGGAAATGCCTAAGTATCGGAGTACAGATAAAAAAATGGCATTGAAAACCGTTAATGCACAAGTACATCTTGGTTCCATCAATCCTGAATGAATACATCATGATACGCAAGTGCATCATGGCTCCATCAATCTTGAATGAGTACATCATGATACACAAGTACATATTTAGTATATCAATCCCGTACTTTGACAAGACATAGGCTATAGCGTAGTGGGCAAAGTCTACAGCTTTGCGTAGTGGGCAAAGTCTACAGCTTTGCTCTCGCTATATAAATATTGAATAACTCCAGTACTTAGAAATCTGTTGTTTTTACAGTAAGTAAACTTAAAAATGTATTTTCCTAGAGTGTGTAAAATGTATGGCTTGCTACTGATAGCTCATAACTTGTAATTCCTTATGTTTTTTTATAGGACACCTATGTTGTTAGAAGACACGTTTCGATCGAGGATCGCGTGGAAGCCTCGCAGATTCTTCGTGCCTTCGTCCCGACTAACTTTCCGGTTTACTCGGATACGCTGGACAACGCGGCAAGCACTGCGTTCAGCGGCTGTCCAAACAGAATAGCGATCATTGAGGAGGACAAACTGATCTATCAGAATGGACCTGGACCGACATGGTTTGACTTCGAGGAGACGAAGCAATGCCTCAAACGCTATCGCAATAACAATAAGGCTTAGAAATGAGAATATATTAAAAGCATTTTTATGATGGCTTTACTATGACGTCAGCATATACTATGACGTCAGCGTAAGATATAAATACTCCGGAACAAAAGTTTTGGTATGAAGTTAACAAAAATATTCGCGATCTTTATCCGTTTTATCTTCTCAGCTGTTCAAAGCTGGTATAATCCGACTTGTTATTCATATTCTACTGACCAACAACAATCTCAGTAATGCTGAACAATTATGAATGTTATGTAGTAGACAGGGCTTGGAAATATTCATCTAAGCTGAAATTTCAGACTGATTTGACAGACTGATTCGAGGTTGGAATATTGGCAATCTTTGCTTCATCATACCAACGCACAGCAAAAAATGTTTATGGAATAGTTAGGCCGATGCAAGATTAATTCAATTTGAAGGAAAATACATCCGCTAATCGATGAAGCAGAATGCTTTTTTCCAGCCTTGTTTCAGCAAAGCGTTTCCGTATTAAATGGGGGAAAAACACATTGAATTTTATCCAGCTCATGATATAAGCAATAAATATGTATCAAATGTATAATTATGTATAAAGAACTTATCCAGTACACGTATAGTTTATCACGATATATCCATTATTAGCCTGCGACACGAGACCTCTGGAGTTGATATATAGCTATAGATGAACTCTTGATATGATATGTGTGGCAAAAAAAGCAGATTAAAATGTTATCAAATTATTTAACGCATCGTTTCTGAAGTGTCGTGTGTTTTTTTTTCTGTTGTCAAGATTAATCTACGCTTCGTGATCAGTATGATAAAGAAAACATGGCCGTACTAGCGTAGCGAGCTCGCAAATTGTACGCTTATATTCTAAAATATAAAATAAAACGGTAAAAAGACATCTTTTTTCAAGTTCTAACCAAGACAATTTAAACTGTAGTATTTCGGTTTAATTTTACGGACCATGCATCATCAGACAGAATGATATATATTCTCAAGCTGGCTGTTAATAATGTACAGTTGTATAAACTAGCTACTTTGAAATTGAAAATTTTTTGTACTTCTGGTTTGTTTAACCAAGTGTTAAACATCAGTAAGTATTTAACTTTTTTTCTTTTTAACTTCATTTTCGTTTTCATTACCAAATTAGTCCTAATGGAGGAAAAACCCTATAGTTTAATAACAATTGTAGCATGGTTTATATCAGGGGTGGGCAACATACGGCCCGGGGGTGGGGTTCGGCCTCTGAAGGGTTTTTGACTGGCCCGCCGATTGTAGAAGTTGCCCACCCCTGGCTTATATGAAGCCTGTTAACATTTGCTGTGGAAACAGAGCCCCTGAGGAAAACCTAGAATTTTCTTGACAACTTTCTTTTTCATGTGACCAGCCCGCATGCAGGTCACTTAAAATACATTAACACAAGGCTACAAGGCTGCAATTAATCTAGTGAGCAAAGAACCCTTTAAATTGTTTTGAAAATCTTTTAAAAGACAGAAAGGCATTTATGCTGGACAGTCAATGAGGAAAACGTGAATTCAAAGAGAAAACTTTCATTTTCGTGAAAAAATACAGCCACCTTTTTCCCACGCTCGAAAATTTTGTCGAAACTCAACTTTGAAAGTGCATTAACCCCGTCCCCCCGAGATCTTCAAGGTGAAAAGTTTGAGCACTCTGGATTAAATTTTTTTTACCTTTCTGATCACATTAAAAAATTGGATAAGACATAAAAACACACCGTAGTAAACAAACACGACAGTAGTCACGAGGCTGGTCATGAAGGGCAAGTGAAAAAAGTGTTTTCATTGTAGCTTTGGCCTCCAAACATGCATGGAATAAGACCTGCCTTTAAAAAAGACCTGACTAATTACTAGGCAGCATGCAAGAAGCCTAGAGCATCATCACAGCATACATTTAGATGAGAGTTTTTCGCTAAATACACTCATTAAATTACGATTATGCAGAAGCAGTCGAAAAGAGCTGCTCGTAGTTTGTCTGTTAGATAATGACGTTTACGATCCGCGCAAAAGATACATTGATTTAACATACAGCATGTCTAACCGATGTTGCAAAGCTGTAACTAAAATAAGACGAGGATCCAGTAATTATTAAACATATCATTTTTTGTTGTGTAACTTATACTTCGTGTTTTTTCCCACTCTCCTTCCTCCCCACCCCACTGAGACACTGTAAGTGTTTAGTTCGTTACTCCATTTCCAACATCCTTCCCTCATCTTCACAAAGTCTTCGTTACTGAAATAGATCCCTTTACTTCGTTACACATGCAGACATGGCAACAGAGTTTGAAATGGCTCAAACGAAGAACAGGTCAAATGGGCCGACACGATAATAATGCAAAATTTTCCTCTTTTAATACCATCATCTTACTTATGGGTCTACATGTTTCGAGATTCACGGTTTTCTTTTTAGTAAATATATTGCAAGTCGCATTGTTTATAAAAAGAACGTTCGTTTTAATGGCAAAGTCTCTCTGATTAGTTTATAGAACAGCAGGAGAACGTATAATAATGACATTAAAATACGTGGGAATTATGTAAATAGTTTAGTGGAGACGAAACAACTTTCCCATGGCGTCGCGATGCTACCGTTAATTCAGTATTGTGAGCTGTTCACAATTACTGAAAACGACAGTTTCAATTTGGCACAAGCTGTATTTTCAGAAGTGAAATGATGAATTTCTGATAATGTGAAATGATGAATTTCTCGGTGTGAGTGAAAAATATAGAAGTTATCATAAGTGATTAGTGTAATAATAGAATGTTGATGCGCAAAATTTCAACAATAAAATTAGATGAGTGAAAGAAGACTGCCAATTTCTAATTTTAAATTATTTATCAGTGCTCAGCTTTCGGCGAAGTTGTTATGCGAGCGCTGGAGTCAATGCGGGTCAAAAACCTATTTCAAATCAGTTCATGCACTTATGCTGAAGATTCAACATTGAATCACCTCAAGCAAACACTAGACTGCGTACAAAAATACTCAAGTTTTAATATCAGATCACTCCTGAATATACACGCGAATTATGTAAGGGCTACTTCTGATTCAAAATCAAATCACTCTTAATGAAAACACTTGACTTAAGTATGTACAAAAACTCAAGTTTCAACATCAGATCACTCCCGATGAAGACATTCCACTTGACTACATCAGAAAGACTCGAGGTTCGACATCCCAACGTGGCTGATCAAGAAATTATAGTGATGGAATCTATAAAGACAAAACTTTCAACAACACTGTATATTTTATAGACTGTTAATTAAATCTAAACCAGACGTCAATATCGCGTGCACCTCCAACGCAAATCACATTCGTCGCACGGAACGAAAATAAAATTGTTTTCTCACAAACAGTCACGCAACGGAACACGATTTTTCAAATTTTTTTTCTCAATTTCTTTCAAAACGTACTCTATTGCCTTTTAATGACAGCTTTAATCCGGAAGAAAACTCAGAATGAATGTACCCACGCCAGTTTTACTAATCGAAATATGGACATCTCGTCATCACATTGTTTTCCGCACGTTTAAAAAAATATAAATTAATGATGCAACTTTATGCAAGAGACAAAGTTGATTAAAACACGCAGACAAAATTGAGCACGAACATACCATACGATGCAGCAAAGAAAGAACTAATGTTGTGTGGGCACTGTGCAGTAGTATTGACATTAGCTATCCCGCAAGTTTTGTGCCTGTGTTCTAAAAGCGCCCTCACACTCACACTCAATGATTGCGACACTAAAACGCACTCCCGCTAATCAATGGTAAAGTCATTTCTTTATTCATAGCAAGATTTTTGTTGAAATAATTCTTGTGGAGCAATCGTTGGAGTAGAAATAGTCTTTAGATGGTTATGAGATGATTTTGAAGCCACACTCAGTGAGTGTGTGAGTTTTAATAACACCGACGCTAGTTATGTAAATTTTAGAGCATTATCATTATTTTCTTTCTTTTTGAAATCTGTTGTTTTCAAAGTGAGTAAACAGAAAAACATTTGGATGGCCACCCTACCGATTGCATGGTTTCATAAGTAAGATAAAAAAATTCCATTCGAAGGTATCGGTTTGCTCAGTTGGTGATTTAATCAGAAATTATATTAAAAATAAATGTCAGATCTATTTCAAATCGGAATGCAATGAAGCAAAATGTAATTACTACACAATTAGCCTTATTTGGTAATGGATACACATTATTTTTAAGCATTCAAAAAATCAAGTAAAGTATTCTTAAGTCATAAAAAACAAACTGCGACTGAAGAAATTTTTTGTATAAGTTGTCCAATTATAGTTTATGGCTGACGAAGCAATGCCGTTACCGTTTTTAGCACTTTCAAATATGAACTATCATAAATGACGTCATGTGTAGTGATGATCTCTCTTCTATGGTTGCCATGATGTCATGTCAAAATTCACAATTAACTTATTTAACTATATTTTCATCTACTTATAACAAAAAGAAACTTAAGTGGAAAACTTTCATTGAAATCATATTGCTTGATCGTTTTTGTTTTATCAAAATTAAATTATCATTCTTTAACGTTTACATAAACAAAGATGAAAGGAGAAATGTTGACCTTCAGTAGACTTCCCTGTGGAATGAATTCACACGAGCTAAAATTAAATGACGGCAATTTCTATTTTGCACCTTGAACAATGACGTAATAATTATTATATTTAACTCGCGACTGTGCCAAAATGTTAAGTGGTCCGATAGATTTAGGAAAAATAACTTGAATAGGAAATCCTATTAGTTTGTTTTTCTGTCAAAATATTTTTTAAATGTAAACTCTTTCGATGTACACAACTTTAAACAATTGTCGCAGATGACTACACGCACAATCATACGGGTGGTTTGGAACAGAATGTTTAAGCTCTAAATTTAAGTTTCTGTAAACACCGATTTCCAATCTCTTCTAGAATTTTCGTTTTTTTTAAAGTGAGATATTAATAAAGTAAGATGAAACAATAATAGGAGTTATCTACCAAGCATGTGTATCTTTTGCCATTTCAAATGTCAGGAGGCATTGAAAACTATTCCTAAAGAAATCAAGAAATTTAGAGTACAGTCTCAAAACACATTTCTCCCATTGAAGATAAATATTTTATTCATAAAATAAACACAATAAAACGCGTGCAGTGATTGGTCAACGAAAGTGTTTGCATTAGTCTGTGCAAACAAACCGATCTGAGCTAAACCAAACAAATTAATCACTCAATCGAAGAGAATTTGCAAATCGATCATGAATGCATTTAGGGGAATGTGAAAAAATTTGTTTGAAATTGTCTATTTCGCATTATTGTTATTTTCAAAAGAAATAAAAGGTGTTTTCGTGTTTGGACTGCATGGCTTATGCAAACTTCAGAGACGTTTGTAAGAACTCTCGAGCAGGTGCAACCCTCGATCTTCGTTCTCAGGCTTTCACTGATCAGCTCTCGAGGTCTGCTTAAGATTTCCTCAATAAGCCTGTACAAACAAGTTCAGTGGTACTTCCACTTGTCGCTTTTAAATAGTGTTTTACGGCCTGTTGGCCTGTTTTAAGTTTCTTTGACTGTTTTCGTTCGAGACTTTCAAGTGTGCTAAAAGATGGTTATATTTCTTTACATGAATGAAACTTAGTTATTACTGAGTTTATTTATTGATTGGCCATAGCTTTTTGAGTTGATCGAATTGAGAAAATATAATCCAAAGAATAGAACTATCAGGCGGGGGGTTATGCAATCT